GGAAGAGCAATTGCATCGCCCTTCTTGATGGCAATAACCTTCTCTTCTTTCTCAGGAAGGACAATTCCAGCAACTCCACTGCCTAAAACAGGATCACAAAAAAGGAGCTTCAGATACAAATTACCCATTATCTCTCAAGCTCAATTCCCATCAAAGAGTTTAGAAAAGTAAAACAAATTGGATCATAAACCCAGGAAACTCTACTCAAAGGAAGAGGTAAAACTCTACTCAAAGGAAGAGGTAAAACTCTCTGGGTACTACCCTATCATGCTGCAAATTTTTGTTAAAACTGTTTTTATCCAGAGATGTAATCCAGGGTTTTCAGAGCAAAACACAGAAAAAAAAACAGAAGTATTTGATGAGAAAAAAAAAATGGAAGCATCCAAAAGTGCGATCACAAATCAGAACCCAAAGAAAGCAAAAAATCAACAATCACCAGAAAACAGTGATCCAAAGATGGGGCAAGAGCAAGCCCAGATTCAACCAACAAATCAATTAACAGAAAACGGCAATTGATCAAGTAGCAAAAGCAAGAATGAACTCAAAAACAGATTGTACCTTGAAGAACATAGGCAACCCTGGCGGAATCAGAGTAAGAAGGAAGAGCAAAGCCATACTGCTCGAGAGCAAGCTTGGCAGCGCCTATGTTCCCTTGGCGGAGCATGGGGAGCTCCTCCGGGCACCAGGCGTGATAAGAACCGCCATCTCCACCGTACACCTTCTTGGCCAACTTTGGGGAAAGATCAAGATCCATTTTTCTCTTAAAAGTTAAAAATTCCTAGCAAAAATAATTCAAGAAAAGCCTATCCCACTACTCTTCCAACCCAAAGATGAAGCTATGATATTTGGAAGAAGAAGAAGCTTTGGTATTTATAGATGGATTAGAGTAGAGAAAAAAGGGCTGGGGATTGGGTTTGTTAGCGATTTCTCTGCTGTTTATTAGGAGTCAGGTGGTATTCATGAATCATGGATCAGATAGAAGACTGAAGAGTCCAAATTACAGTGATATTCGTTACACAATAATGGCGTCAAATTTATTGAACCTCCATAAATTATTTTAATTTGGTCCTCCAAGTTTGGGTTAATTCGTTGCTGCCCCAATTTGCGGAAAGAAAAAACAAATTTTACCTAAATCTTTAAATATTTTATTTCTATTTTTTAGGAGAAAATATTAAATAAATTTCTATATTATTTACAAAATATATAAGGGTATTTGAATATTTATATTAATTCTTTTTAACAACTTATCTCGTATTAACCAATCAAGCAATAGAATTAATGTTGTAGATAAATTTTTTTTCCTATAGAATTTAAATTCAATTCATTCTCAAATTCTTTTTTTTTTCAATATTAAAATGATTTTCATTTTTTCTTTAGGTACTGGAAAGATTCTGCCACCATTGAAGATTGAATTAAATTACACATTCCATTGCATCATTGAACTAATGAAAAATAAAATTCATGAACCCTAAATTAGCATTTTTAACATGTAACCATTAAGTAATATATGTTGAGTTGATATGCATGTGTAGATTATTACTGATGTGTCAAATATTTTGTTATTTGTTATCTACATATACATTTTAAAAGCATTGTGATAGAACTATAAATAGAAAGGAACATTATGATTTTCACAAATAAATATTGATCTAGTTGCAAAAATACAACATCTCATTTTTATAGTCGAAGTACCAAATCAGGTATGTATTAACTCTAAAAATTTTATATAATAATACTAAACTTAATATTATAAAAAATTAAATTGTATATAACTTCAATTAAACATTATTAACCAAACTAACATATAATATAGGATGGATGGAGTAGTAAATAAGATTATATATATTTTACATTGAAATTCTAATAATATAATTAAATAATGTAACAAACAGGAATCTGATTCCTACTGTGGAGTTGTGGGACAAATTATATCGTGCACCGCGGTGCATAATCGATTATGCACCGCGCATCAAAACGACGTCGTTTTATTTAATGAAAACAAACATAATCTTCGTAATAAATAACTCTGTTCTTCAGTTTCATTTTGTATACACTGCAGTTTCAATTCATCACAACTACAGTTTCATTTCGATATAACTACAGTTTTAATCAATATTTATACACTAAAATATGTGAAAATGTTATTTAATTTAATTTTATATACACTATAGTTTCATTAAAACACAACTACATGATCATTTCAATATAATTACAGCTTCATTGTACAATATACACTCAAATATGTGAAATGTTATTCAGTTTCATTTTATATATACTGTAGTTTCATTTCACCACAATTACAGTATTATTTTGATATAACTGCAGTTTCATTTGATAATATAAAAATAATATGTGAGACTGTGTCGGTTTAGACACACTGTAGTGTCACTCTATTATAACTGTAGAAATGGTACTGTTTTGACGCGCGATTATGCACCGCGGTGCATGATATAACGACTGGAGTTGTGGCTGTTGGGTTTATTTTTTTAAAATATATATTTTGCACAACATCCACGTTAAAGATAGAATATTGAAATTAAAGATATTATAAGATTTGGTTGTACATTATATTATGGAGAAGAAAGGGAGACAACATTTGTGGCAACCATGTACCATGTGGTTTCAGATCACAAATGGCAAAAAACAAAAACGAGTTTGTTTCAATGTGGCTGCTAGATTCGAGCCCAGGTCTCCACAGCCATAACGTCAGATTCTTACAAAAAACTACAGCCACTTTTGTATTTGATTTTCAGTGTTTTATATTTATTTGTATCAAATCTAATACTAAAATGATAATCATTAATTTTGAAATGTAAAAGTATAAAAGTATACAAATTTAATTATGTATTATATAAAATGCAATTGATGTTTTAGAGTGTAGGGGCAAAGGAGTGCGTTAATTTGAGCTATTATTGTGAGTTTGGAAAAGGTCAGGGTTGGTTTTTAGATTTTTGTAGCCCCGTTATGATATTTATAGATGGATTAGAGTTAAGAAAAAAAGCTGGGGATTGAGTTTGTTAGCGATTTCTCTGCTGTTTATTAGGAGTCAGTTGGCCTTCATGAATCATGGATCAGAAATCCAAATTACAGTGATCAACTGATCTTTATTCGTTACACAATAATTGCGTAAAATTTATTGAACCTCCATAATTATTTTAATTTGATCCTCCAAGTTTGGGTTAATTCCTTTCTGCCCCATTTTACAAAAGAGGAAAAAACAAATTTTACCTAAATCTTTAAATATTTTTTATTTCTATTATTTTAGGGAAAAATATTAAATAAATTTCTATATAATTTTCACATATTTTTATTAGGTTGAGATATTTGAATATTTATAATAATTATTTCGAACAACTTATCTCGTACCAACCAATCACATAATGGATGGAAATAGTGTTGTAGTTAAAACTTGTTTTTTTTCTATAGAATTTAAATTCAATTCATTCTCAAATTCTTTTTTCAATAGTAACATGATTTTCTATTTTCTTTAGATAGGAAAACATTGGTGACCATTAAAGATTGAATTAAATTCAGCTTTTAGGAATATAAATTAAAGGGAAATTCTATCATCTCCCTTATTCTAGATGGGGTATGTTTCTCTGGCTAGGCAAGCAGTGAGCAACAAATTGTAGTCTCCGGCCTTATAAAGCAAGTAGCGGTCCCTCCGGCGTGTCCAGTAGTCTCCGGCATGGAATGAAAATGAAACTGTGGTTTTACATGCGCTTTGTGTCCTGTAGACTTGCGGCTGAATCTATTCACACTGCTTTTAATTTGCAGGTTGGGTGGAAGATTCATTTGAATTGTGTGATAATAAGGAGCAGTTGCAAGCTGTGATATGAATGCTCTTTGGGAATATAATATAGGAATAAGGTGGTTTGGGAAGGTATGGTGTGTAGGTCGGTTTGGGAAGGTATGGTGTGTAGGTCCGCAGTGATCCGTTAACTATTTATTATTCCTAACTTACTCATTAAATTCATTAAATTCTATAAGAAAGATCTTAGGGTTGAACCACATCCCAATTAGAATTGGCATCAAATAGGTTACAAAGTATTAAAAAATATAATATAAAATTTAATATAAACTTTGGTCAAATAATTAGCTCATCTAAATACATAGCATTCAATGATTATAAACTAGGAACTTTGAAAATCATTTTTTTTTGAAAGCCAAGCAACTTGGTATATTAATGAATGAACATAGTAATAGAGTCAGGAGGGATGATGTCCCAATACATAGGTTGGTCCTGATCGAAAGCTAACGAAGCTAATGTATGAGCATGCATATTGACAGCTCTAGAAATATAATTTAAAGCACAATATGTAAATAACGACATAGATGTCTTGCACCGGTCCACAATGACCCCAACATAAGATCGAGTAGCCGTACTTCTTAAGTGTATCATGTTCCGCAGCTCCATGCAATCCGTAAGTAGGTAGACTATCAATACATCGCGGCCCTTAAGCCATGCGAGGGCCTCCTTGCATGCGAGTGCCTCCGCCATAAGAGGTGAAAAAGCACCAGGGAGGGTGCCGGCCGTGGCCGCCACGAAAAAACCATCGTGATTGAGAAGCACAACTCCATATGTCGCCTCTCCTGTGTGCTACTTGTAGCCGGTGTCGAAAAAACACCTTAGTCGTTGTTGCGTGTCGTGTATTGGTATCACTGTGGCAGCGGTTGTGGCAACGGGTTGTCGCAACGTGCGATTGAGCTTGGTGTATGCCTCCTCGGCCCTCACTGCCTTTCTCGCCGTGGATCCAGGCCGTGGCAGTGCCTTTTCCCATACTGCCGAATTCCGAGCAGTCCATACTGCCGAATTCCGAGCAGTCCATAGGTAGTATAGAACGCCTACGGCCAGTCTCAATTGTTCCTCCGTCACCGAGTTCAGCACGACTACGAGCCATGATGGGAATAAATTAGTTAGGATATTCGTGACAGGTAATCTCGAAATATTCTAAACCATCCTAGAATAATCACATAGAATCAGTGCATGCATAATATTCTCATGTGCGTGGCCACAAATTGGGCATGTGGCCACACATTGGGCATATAGGATCCACCTCTACCCTTTTAATAATCAAATTATCAGTGGTGGGAAGTATGCCAGAAACAGCTCTCCACAAAAAGGTTTTCCATTTAGGTGGCACTTTTAATCTCCATAATGTAACCCATTTATCAAAATCTCCTAGGTTATCAATATAATCCCCCATAATACGCCTGTAGGCATTTTTAACCGTGTATATTCCTTGTGTGTCCCCCACCCAATACCATGAGTCGTCATAATCTGGACTTACAGGTATCCTTGAAATCCGGGCTACATCCTCAGGAATGAATAAATCAGAGAGAATATGTAGATCCCAGGTATTCGTATCTTGATCAATTAGGCCAACCACTAATGCTTCCCTTAACTCATCAGGCATGAGTGTTTGAACCAAAGGGCTGGGGTCATCAGATAACCATGGGTGGCCCCATATCAATGTCTCCTTCTCGTTTCCAATCCTTCGGCGCACCCCAGCGCAGACTAGATCGTGGGCAGCCATAATACTTCGCCAGCAGTAACTTGGGCAATTCCCTACAGTAGCATCAACAAAAGTGGTTGTAGGGTAGTACCGTGCTTTATAAATTTTTGCCACCAAAGTGTTTGGATCAGTAAGAAATCTCCATGTCTGTTTCCCCAGTATAGCCAGATTAAAAGCGCGTAGGTCCTTAAAACCTAATCCCCATATTTCTTAGGGATACATAGTGTATCCAAAGCTTTCCAATGGATTCCACGATCCGCACCCGTTCCCCACCAAAATTTGTTCATAGTCCGCTGAATAGATAAACACACCGTTTCAGGTAGCAAAAAAATACTCATGGAAAATGTAGGCATAGATTGAGCCACACTTTTCAAGAGTACCTCTTTCCCTGCCTGTGAGAGTAGCTTTTTATTCCATGAACCAATTCTCTGCGATTTTATCCTCCACATATGCAACATTTTTATTTCTTCCAACAAAAGAAGGTAGACCAAGATATTTCCCAAAATTGGATGCCTGATCCACGCCCAGACACCACGCCACCTACTCTCTCTGCGCCACTTAGGTATTTCTACTAAAGCAAACACTTGATTTATTAAAATTCACAACTTGGCCAGACAATTTCTCATATCTAATAAGACATTGTTTAACAACAGCTGCTTCCTGAATGTTTGCTTTGAAAAACAACAGGCTGTCATCTGCAAAAAATAAATGTGAGATCGGTGGTGCCCCTCTAGCCACCCTACACCCATGTATAGCTCCATCCATCTGTGCCTTCTGCAAAAGCATTGAAAGCCCCTCCGCACAAATAATAAATAAATAGGGAGAAAGAGGATCTCCCTGTCTGAGTCCACGAGTGGGAGTTACACACCCCCTACTTCCCCATTGACCATTACCGAATATTTAACTGTTGTAACACACAACATAATGAGTCGGATCCAGCTATCATCGAAACCCATAACAGTCATCATTTTCCTCAAGAAAGGCCATTCCATTCTATCATAACCTTTTGACATATCCAGCTTAAGAGCACTCCACCCCGCACGACCACACTGCTTCCTATTCAAGTAATGCCCCACCTCTCCTGTCACCAGGATATTGTCTGTAATCAAACGCCCCAGAATAAACGCACTTTGAGATTCTGAGATTATTCCTCCCATCAGTGGTTTCATCCTATTCGCAATCATCTTTGCCATTACTCTGTAGATAACATTGCTCAATGCAATTGGTCTCATATCCGCAACTGTATCAGGCAGTGTTTTCTTAGGGATTAGCACAATATTAGTATCATTTAACCCCTCCGGGAAAGCACATGAATTCAAGGAGTTTGTTATAAACCGAGTAACATCTTCCCCTACCACACTCCAAAAGTGCTGATAGAAACCCGGATTCATTCCATCCGGGCCCGGTGCTTTATCATGAAACATAGAAAAAACTGTTGTTCTCACCTCATCAGCCTCATAGGGGCGAACCAATGCTGCATTCTGTTCTTGAGTAACCCGGGGGCAAAAATTATCAAACAAAGGGCCCGAGCAACTAGAATTATTAGAGGAAAAAATATTCCTATAATAATCCAAGATTACCGTTTTCATACTATCCCCTTTAACCCACAAATCATTATTATCTTTAATACGCACAATCAAATTCTTTTTCCTACGGGCAGAGGCATACCTGTGGTAAAACTTCGTGTTGGCATCTGCTCCCCGAAGCCAATGCTGCTTCGCCCGTTGTCTCCAAAACACATCTTTGTGGGCTTCCAGCTGATTCAACTGATCATCAATCTGTTGGAACTCGGCCAATGCCGCCGAGTCCCTTCGGCTTCGGATAGTCTCCTGGCGCCGTCGTAGCTGGTCAATACGCTTCCCAAACTTATGAAAACGATCACCACCCCAACGCATTAACCTTTCCCCACAATATTGCTGACAGCCAAGTAAACCCTCTGTTCTTCCATTCTGCCAGGCAGTCTCAACAACCTCCTTACAACCTTCATCTAAGAGCCAGGCCATGCATCTCAAACCTAAAATCCCTCGGGTTCCCTCTCATCGGTATGCATGTTGCATTAACATTGAGGAAAAGAATCGAGTGATCCGAAGCTCTAGTCCGTATATTCTCCACCCATGCATTCCGGTTGACATCACACCAATTTGCCGTTGTCAGTACCTTATCAAGCCTTTCCTCAATCTAATTCTGCGTGCCTTTACCTTTCTCCCACGTGAACTGGTGTCCTCTCATGGGCATCTGCGTCAAACCACACTCATCAACAGCCTCCCCAAAACCACGTAGGAGACTATCAGGATACGGATTACCTCCTTTCTTCTCGTGCTGGAACAAGATATTATTAAAATCCCCCAACACCACCCACGGCAGTGTGGATCTGCCACTTAACGTGCGCAATAAGTCCCAGGAGTCTTTCCTATCCTGTCGTTTCGGAAAGCCATAAAAGCACGTCATCCGCCACCACTTCCCATCCACATGCACTTCTACATCCACATGGTTCTTAGAGTAATTCAATAATTGTGCCGTATTATTTATCTTCCAAAAAAGAGCCAGACGACCACTCAATCCATCGTTATCAACATAAAATAATCCTTCGTACCCAAGACTAACACGGATCCGTTCCGCATGTATCCGCGCCACCTTGGTTTCCATTAAAAACATGAAATCCGGCTTCTTACGGGACCCCAGGTCCACTATCTGTCGAACTGTTCGTGGATTGCCCAAGCCACGATAGTTCCAGCTTAGCGTACTCATGATGATGGGCGGGGCTGAGAAACAGCTCCCGCAATGGACAAGTTTTTTTAACCCTCTTGCATAACCACATCCTCACCCTCGAATTCCGTACCCCGGCCCCCACTCATGGCCTGCCGGTAGCGTTTGACCGTGGCCTCAACCTGCTCTCCTTTCGCCGCCCCAATCTGTACCGGTACACCGTGACCCAACCGTACGGCCACCACCCCTGACACCCCGTTCTCCGCCTCAATCGGACGCGGTCTCCCGCCCACCGGCACAAGCCAGTTATCCCCAACCGCTCTAGGAGCGCTCCGGGATCCACCAGCTCACATATCCGGACCATACGGGTATCGTTCCAACGGGATTCCAGAGTCCCGTGCCTTGATGCAAAAAGTGTATAGATGTCCCATTATACCACAGAAAAAACAGAACCTGTGGAACCGTTCATAGCGAAAAGTTACCCAAGTCGTGGACATATCCCTTTTCAAAAGCTTCATCCGTCGTCGTAGCGGCTTATCAACCGGAATAGAAACCCTAATCCGTTGGAAAGTTAACCACGGAGCCCCTTCAAAACGATCATCATGTTTAACAAAAGTACCTATGAAATTTCCAGCTTGCTCTAGTACCGATTGAGACGTATACCCTAGTGGCATGTCATGCAACTGCACCCACATATCAATTGTATTCAACGGCACCTCCCCCGGAGTGGTATCCGGCGGAACCTCCCTGCATACTAAGGCATTGTTTTCAAAAGCCCAAGGACCCCAATCCAAAACATAAAACACGTCCGTTCTATGAAAGAAAACGAACAAGAACACACCCCTCTGGATCTCTGTAACTTGAACTCCCCTAACCGGTTGCCATACAGATGCTAGGACCTAGCGCATGAACTCAAGTTTCACCATCTTCTGCGTTAGAAATCTCCCAACCACCTTCCACGTTTCCTCCTCCTCCTCTCCGGCGTTCCCCACCTCATCCCCGATTGGTGCGAAGGTCGTTTCCTCCTCCTCCAACGACCACTCTGCCCACTGTTCGGTTACCACCGCTACGTCATCATCCTTCGTACTCGGCTGTGCGTCCGGAGTCGGCTGTCCCGTAGACATCGTGCGACTGTCTGGCCAGTAGATCTCGCCGGCAGTTGCCGGATAGTAATCAACGAAGCAAAAACCTAGGAAAACCCTAGTGTGGAGGCAAAAACCCTAGAGAGCCTAGAGAGAGAATTTGAGATGCATCTATCATTTGATTTTCTTTCATTTAAAAAAATAAATTTAAGTTAAGTTTTTTTTTTTTTTCGTTTAATTAATCTTATTTTGATTATTGAGAACAAAACATAATATTTTAATTATGTTTTTATCAATGCATGAAAACTTCTAAAAAATTAAAATTTATAAGTTAATTTTTACTGTATTATTATAACAATATATATTGTAACTTTATATTTTGAATTATTTATTATCATCCTCTATTGATAGTAATTGTCATTGACAAACTCTCAAAACAATTTGTCTCAACAACAAGTGGAAATAAAAAAAAATCAATAATTTCATTATTGTGGATGAAAAGTATGTAGGCCACTTTATTGCTCTTATTAAATTAAAAAATAAATTAGTAGCTACAATAAAAAATAATACATATGCATTTAATTAATTTAGAATTAGGTGTCTATAATGCCTTTATTTAAAATGAATTATTCGTTATAAAAAAAATAAAAAGAAATATAATTTCATTAGTTATATTATCTTTATTTTATACAATTCAAATATTATTTACCTTCAAATTTATTAATTTATTATATTCGCTACATTATCTATTGTCTTCTTTTTACATTATCTTGTAATTAAATATCAAAGTTATAATACAAAATATGTTTATATATATATATATATATATATATATATATATATATATATATATATATATATATATATATATATTTATATTTATTTACCATGTATTTTATAAAAATATAATAAATATTAATATTTTGTTCAATACTTTCACATGATAACTTATGACACACATCTCACAACACACGAAACATGTAGGGGAAATTAAATTACCACTATCAAATATCAACATGTGCTTGTAAGATAAAGAGTTCATAGCACAACTAAAGTCATAGTCATATACACAACAAGGCAAATATAAAGCTTCCTAAACCATAATCTCATTACATGATGAATCCCTCTCTATGCTACCAACAATAACCTAATTGCACATGACATACAACCAATAACAAAAAAATAAAAAATAAAAAATATACTGAAGATGAAGACAATGACAATGCTACCCAAACGAGAATTAGAGAAATTTAAACCAAAAGTTGTATTTATTTAGACTATCGCTTTTAGAATAACGTTATTACAAAGTTGCAAACATTTATTTTGGAATAAGGTTCAAATTGGCCATTGAATGTAACATGAAAATGCAATTAGGGCACTGAGCACTCCAAAAATGTGCAATTAAGCCACTGAACACTCCAAATCTATGCAATTTCACCGGATAACATGTTACCATCAATTTTAGCAAGTTACCTACTTACGTGACAACTGAGTTGGCATTTTAAATAATTTTCAATAATAATTTTTTAAAAAAATTGAAAAAAAAAAAAAACAGACGGGGTAGCCGACGACCACCCCGTCATTTATTTTATTTATTTAATTCTTTTAATTTTTTTTTTAATATTTTAAAAATTTATTATTAAAAATTATTTAAAATGCCAATCCAGCTGCCACGTAAGCAGGTAACCTGCTATCAGGTGAAATTGCATACATTTGAAGTGTTCAGTGGCCTAATTGCTTTTTTTTTTTTTTTTTTTTTTTTTTTTTTTTTTTTCCGTTCAGTGATCTAATTGCATTTTCAGGTTACGTTTAGTGGCCAATTTAAACCTTATTCCATTTATTTTTGTGACAGTTATATATAATCAATCTCTCATATATTATCTTGCATTTATATACTTTAAATTACTGATTTTAAATAAACAAATTCAACATGTATTTACCTATGCATGAACATCTTCTATATAATATTGCATTGATATACTTTAAAATACTTATTTAAAAAGAATCATTGGGCATTATCTCATTCGCGCAAAGCGCGTAAAAAAACTAGTTTATTAATAACTGGTGTTGTATATTAGTTTTTTTTTTTTTTTTTTTTTTTTTGGTCTAAAACCCAACGTGGTAAGTTAATTTTTTGAAAAAAATAAATACATACGACGTCGGCGTTGATGTTTTAATGACTAATTTAGACCCAAAACCTACCCAAATATCTTATCACAATAATTTAATATTTATAATCTCACAATCAATAAAAGTAATAAATCTCACAATTGATCGATACTAATTAATAATACAATTTAAATCTAAAATTATCAATATCAATTATACTACTTCACGTACTAATCAAGCAATGTATTAATCCATTCATCAATTAAGAACTTGGCACATATGTCTCTAAGTTCATTTATCTTTTGGTGAGCTAATCAAGCAATGTATTAATCCATTCATCAATTAAGAACTTGACACATATGTCTCTAATATATTTAATGAATGCACATATATACAAGATCAATGAATGAATCAACGGTACCAGTCCTTTAGGTGTTTTGCTCAGTGTTCATTTAGTTCAACCATTATTGTTGAATAAATTATTATGGATAAAGAAATTCCTAATTTAAGGAATCTTGATGTAGTAAAAATTTAAATTTTTTAATTATAATGTCACCCAAAGATATTGGACGATTGATAAATATGATGTAACCCAAAGATCAAAATGCTAAAGAAAATGTTTTGGTTATTCAACAGTTTGAAGCAACAATTTGTTCCAAACCACTGGAAATACAAACATTGCAATTTACAATATTTTCACTTAACGTTTTTGAGAATGATTTCTCCAAAACATATCTATATTTTTTAAAAAAATTATTATTTAAACAATTATTATTATTATTATATTATTATTATTATTATTATTATTATTATTATTATTATTATTATTATTATTATTATTATTATTATTATTATTATTATTATTATTATTATTATTATTATTATTATTATTATTATTATTATTATTATATGTATACCCTTAGTTCATTTTAAATGTTAATTTAAATACCTAATTTTTTCAAATATCTTTTTACCAACCGTTGATATAATTCGTTGGTCAAATCCGCTAATATAACCTGCTAACTGCTAACTGCTAATTGTCAAACAAGGACATTGCGAGGTAGTTTCTAACTTCAATTTGTTGTGTGATTTGAATACTCTCTTTGTCAACAAATCCCTCAAATAGTTAATATATGGCTTTATTAACTTAAATTTTTTAAATTTTTTCATGGTATTAATAAAATACTTGGTACATAAATATATAGCATTATTTTGTATTATAGCTTTGATATTTAATTAAAAAATAGTGCACAAAAAAGATAATAGACAATATAGTGAATATAATCAATTGATGAATTTGAATGTAAAGAATTTTTACATTGGAGAAAAATAAAGACAATATAACTAATGAAATTTTTTCTCTTAATTAATTTATTGATAATGAATAATTTTTTTTAATAAATACATTGTAGGGACAATGTAGCGAATATAATCAATTGATGAATTTGAATTTTGAATATAAAGAATTTTTTTTTATTGGAGAAAAATAAGGACAATATAACTAATGAAATTATTTCTCTTATTTAATTTATTGATAATGAATAATTTTTTTTTTAATAAAGGCATTGTAGACACATAATTCTAAATTAAAGAAATGCATATGTATTATTTTTTTGTTGTAGCTACTAATTTATTATTTATTTATAATTTAATAAGAGTAAAATAGAGTACTAATTATGACAACTTTGATTGGGATGCGGTTCGAACCTAAGACCTTTCTTATTGAAAGCAATGAGCAAGTTAACGGTGAACTAACAGAAATTAATGAAAAAGATAATATTTAACGGAAAAGTTAACGGATAATCATATTCATTAAGGATAAATTAGGAAATCTCAAGGAAAAATTAAAATCTGATCAATTTGAGCCATTCATTTGATTAAAAAATTTGACCGTCATTTTTTCTACTGATTATAGGCATAACTCTCTTGGACTCTTATTAGTATAGTAGACTTCCTTATTCATTCCTTTGTATGCTTCTTTGGAAAGTATTTCAAATATGTATTTCATCACATAAAATCCGCATTCGGCACTTCCAACTTGTTTGGCACACTACATTTGAATTAAAATACAATTAAGAATTTATTTCATAAAAACAATAAAATATATGTAGTTTTACAAATGTATGAAATACTTACCAAACATTTACAACATGTTCGGTTCACGGAATGAATTTTGAGGTAATAGGAATGCTATTCCATAAGGAATGGAATAGGCAAGGAATAGAATAGGAATTGTATTCTATTGTTTGGTTCGCGGAAGGAATAGACTTTAGGAATTATATTACAGTGTTTGGTTGATTTAAGGAATAGAAATGAAATATGTTTTAAAAGACATAAATACCCTTATAAAAATATGTGATGGTGGCGATGGTGGTGGTGGCGGTGGCGGCGGCGGCGGTGGTGGTGGCGGTGATGGTGGTAGCGGTGGTGGTGATGGTGGTGGCGGCGGTGGTGGTGGTGGTGGTGCTGGCGGCGGTGGCGGTGATGGTGGTGGTGGCGACGACGGTGGTGAAATAGGATAAATTTATATATAGGATAAAAAATTAGGTTAAAGAAAGGGGTAAAAAAGAAAATAGATTCTAAAATCTATTCCTGAGTGTTCAGTAATAGGCTAATACTAGGGGGGGCCCTAGTAATAGCTATTACCTTATTTGAGGTAATAGGCTATTACCAGGAATAGTATTCCTGGTAATAGAAATGGTTACCAAACAAAGGAATAGGCCTATTACTGGGAATGCTATGCCATTCCCGGCCTATTCCGTGAACCAAACGGGCCATTAATCCATTTTGGTGGACGAGTTGGTTTCTGAACATACTTGTTATCTTCAACACCTATAAATATAAGAGATAAGTATAATAAATACTTTATGACATCGTACTTTATTAATAATTAATAACAATTATTAATTACTAATAAGTTTACATAAATTTCAACTATATCTTTAATGTCCTCACGTGGTTCACCTCCAATTGAATCAAAACAATAGATTTCATATAATAGAGGACAAATTGCCATCAATATCCAATGCCCACTACAAATAAATAATGTATTAGTTGTAAGTAAATATAATATAAAATAGAAGTATATTATATATAAGTTATTTTATTTGAAACAATTAAAACTTACTCTAAAACATATGGGGCTAAATAGCATTGTTTCTTCCCATATTGCAGGGTGACATTTATATACCCTGTCCGTTCATCTCTAGTCGTCATTTTTTGTTGAATCCAATTTGGATCGAAGAAGCCATACATGGTCTTTGATGCCAAACCAAATTCGTTATAAAGACGACTCATATTCAGAAACACAACCAATCAGTGGAGGATCCATAAAATCATCTGGGGGGTGGGGGGTGGGGTGGGGGCCGGATATTAAATGACGTTAGAAATGTTAATGGCAAAATATCAAACAACCATAATAAGGTTAAAATACAAAATACATTATAAATTACAATATATTTATGAGAAAATATGAAACATAATCAATTAGATAAAAATAATTTTAATAACAATATATTCATAAATACTTTTAAATTTTAATTTCTTTTAGTTAGATCGATTTTTCTAAATTAATTCGAATACAATAAAGTATATTATAAACTTGTATACTACATTAATTAAATGATTTATAAAAACTAGACTAAAAGAGTATTTAATTTGTTAATTAAATGATTCATAAAAAGTAGACTAAAAATATTTAATTTATCTCGTGAAGAAATGAAAGAGAGAAGATAATTAAAAGTGTTGCTAATGAGATTTGAACCCATGACATAAGCCTTTTATGACATAAAATTTAAAGTTCAACCAACTAAGCTATTTAAACTATTAATATTTTTGACATAAATATAGATTTTATATAATATTTCATGTTATATATGTATACATATAATACATATATATAAAGGGGTGGGGTGGGAGGAGTGGGGACAACTGCCCGCATACTGGGTCCGCCCCCTGCAACCAATCATATATATTACTAATATAATAATTATAATAAATGAAATGAAAAATACTATGAACAAATAATAGTAAAGAACTTACGGAGTATTACTTTATAAAGAACTGCAAACAAGAAATATCCAACAATTCCATATTTAAGAAACACATGATCTTCAACTTCTCAATATATAATTCATATTGGTCTTAGGTTGATTCAATTGTTCACGCATGTAAAGTAGCTGGTTTCTTTCTTGCATTTTTGGTCACATACCTCGTTCAGCGAATTAGCCTACACATGCGTTAGCTAAGGCCCTATGTAGTGAGAGGGTTCTCCTCTAGACTTTATGTTGACTTTACTTTAATATTAGGCTTTTGAATTGTTGGTTTTCAATTTTTTTTAGATGACAAGAGAAACTCACAATAATTATTTAAGAGTGTGCATTAGACAAATGTTGCTCTGGTGTAATAGCTCAGAAACAACATATGAAAAGTAAATCGATCCGATATATAGATGTGACAGACGCCATTAGAATTCCTATTATGCATGTTGTATATTAAAAAAATATCATTCTTAACATAAAAAGTGGCATAATAATATATTGAGTAAATTACACTTTTGGTCTTATGACTATTGGGGTGTTGTTAATTTCAATTCACGACTTTAAAAACTAACAATTTAGTACCCTAACTATTCAATTTGTATCAATTTTGGTCCATTTGGTCAAATTGCCAGCAAATTTTAATTGAAAAGACAAATTTACCCTCATTTTTTAAAAATAATAAATGAAAAATTAAATTATGTACTTTTCCGGTGGAAGCTAGACGCAGGTTTGAGATCGTCGTTGCTGCTGCCGTTCTTCGTCGCACCATCACAGCACCACGCCAAGACACTAGCTGCCTCCACCATCGCTGCGTACCTCAGGTCATCACTCTCCCTCTTTCTCGCTCGTCGACGGCAACATGGTGAACCAGCAGCAGCGCCGGCGTCTTCCCGGCGAGCTGAGCAGCGGCGACGGACCACCATAATCAGCAGCAGCTCTCCTCCAGCGTACAGCGGTGGCCAAGCTCTTGGTGTTCCACAAGTATAATTCAAGACCAACTAAAATTCAGATAAGCATTTCAAGCACACCCCATTCGTGACCCCTCAAGAACAAATTACACTGAAAACCCAATCCCCAAACAAAAGTGAACACACAAAATGCGTAATGAACATGACCTGGATCCAGGAATGGGGGAAGAGTGATTCTCAAGAATTTTAAACATCGGGCAAAGAATTAGAGGAAGTGTGAGAACTGAATAGCGCCGTAGACGACGGAAAACATGTGGGGCCGGAAGGTGAATCACGGGAACGGAGGGGAAACTGGAGAAGAACAACAACACACTATCATGGCGAGGCTCGTAGAGTCGAAGAAGATTTTCGCCGAGATTGGATATGGAAATCATTTACTATCATCCATCGCGTAACACGTATACACGTAAAATATACTTGTGGAAGACCAAGAGCTTCGCCACCGCTGCACGCCGGAGGAGAGCTGCTGCTGATTACACTAGTCCGCCGCCGCTGCTCAGCTCGCCGGGAAGACGCTGGTGTTGTTGCTGGTTCACCGTGGTGCCGTCAACGAGCGAGCGAGAGAGAGAGAGAGAGAGAGAGCGATGACCAGAGGTGGCGATGGTGAAGGCAACTGGTGTCTTGGCGTGGTGCTGCGATGGTGCGACGAAGAACGGCAGCAGCAACGGCGATCTCAAACCTGCGTCTTCCACCGGAAAAGTACATAATTTAATTTTTCATTTATTATTTTAAAGAATTGAGGGTAAATTTGTCTTTTTAATTAAAATTCACTAGCAATTTGGCTAGATGGACAAAAATTGATACAAATTGAATAGTTAAGGTACTATATTGTTAGTTTTTAAAGTTGTGGATGGAAATTAACAACACTTCAATAGTCACATGACTAAAAGTGTAATTTACTCTAATATATTTATAATAAATGAGTAACTCTTATGTAAGACGTTTTTACACAAAATAAGAGTTTTTGCACTTTTGGTTCCACGACTATGGTGTCACTAACAATTTTGATCCACGACTTTTAAAACTTGTAGAAGTGGTCCACGGCTATGACTTTCTTAACAAATTTGGTCCTTCCGGTGCATTTTCCATTCAATTTTTACTGGAAAATTTACTCCCCATTTTAACATGGGTAATATTGTCTTTTCCATCTCACAAACTAATGACATAAATAAATAAATAAACAGCTAAAAATGTTTTGCGTTTAGTGAGGAGGGTGAAACTGAAAGTGGAATTGGAATTGGGTGACTTTTAATTTCAATCACCGTACCACTGGCTGTGTTTAATTATTTATTTATTTATTTATTTATTTATTTATGTCATTAGTTTGTGAGTTGGAAAATATAATATTACCCATGTTAAAATGGGGAGTAAAATTTTCCGGCAAAAATTGAACGGAAAATACAACGAAAGGACCAAATTTGCTAAGAAAGTTATAGTCGTGGACCAATTCTATAAGTTTTAAAAGTCATAGATCAAAATTGTTAGTGACACCATAGTCGTGGGACCAAAAGTGCAAAAAAAACTCCACAAAATAAATCGTTGAACCATTCGGAGAACATTTCATTACATCATTATTGAACTAAAGAAATTATAAACCCTAATAAAAAAAGCAATTAGCATTATTTAATTTTTAACATGTAACCATTAAGTAATATATGTTGAGTTGATATGCATGTGTAGATTATTACTGATGTGTCAAATCTTCTTTTATTTGTTGGCTTTATATACACTAGTATTTTTACCCGTGTGATGCACGGAATGATTTTTTGTAATATATTAAGAATATTTGAATCGATATATAATTATTTAAATTAGAACATCAAATATTATATAGTGCAATTAAAGATATAGTTTGGATCGTTTATGTATTTTGATGTTATTATTGCTTGAATTTGTGCAAATAATTGCTCAAATTAATAGCTAATGTCTAGATGTACGCATGTGGTGCTATAAGTTTGATGATTTTATTTATCATTGTTTAGTGTTTTTATAAATTAGACAAATGTGCTCGTTATCTAACAACTCAGTTATAGGAATGAATT